CAATAAGAAAACAATATACTTCTAGCGCCCGGCCAGTAGTGGAACTTTACAATGCAACACATGCGACCCCCAGCAGTATATTCACTTCCTCAACAAAATCCTCCTCAGGCCGCCCCAAAGAGGTGAAATAATGCACCAACATCATTCTGCATTTAACAGCAGCTGCAAAAATGGAAACTGAAACTACAGCTTTGTGTGTTTTTGTTTGGACGGACAAAGGAGTAGAATTTTCCTCGAAGCACACGTAGCTAGTTAGTTGACCCGCCATCATTGTTGTTTACATTTGTTCTCGGCTACTGTGCATGCCCAAATGTACGTGCAGGAAGTGGGGGTCATAGCAGGCAGAGAATTCCCACCTTTTTCTTCACTCGGGTGTCAAAGAGTCCCTCGCTGAGGAGCGTATCTAATCTGTTTCACTCTGTCGGCTGGTTCTCAACACTTGCGTTTTCACCTCCCTGAAACACGGTCTTAATTTAAATGGACGGCCAAACCAATACCCAGCTCCATAGTTTTATTGTGGCAGCGCCTCTGTTTAAACGGGGCCTTGGGGCCAAATCCCACTGGTTGTTGTACAACAATGTAAGCACTTTGTGACTCTGGTCTGTTAAAGGCGCTATATAAATAAAGATTATTTACATACTTACCATGGAGAGTGATTATAAGTGGTCCCATTGTGCACTTAGGGAGCAGTCCCTCCAGAGAGTGGGAGACGCACGCAGATGGACAAAATATAATCAATCTCATTTAAGATAAGATACTTTTTATTGATTCAAAATGGAGAAATTTACACTTAACTTGTTTGACGTGTGCCGATACATGTCTGTATTTTTTTCTATTGAAAATACAGACGGGGCAATTAAAGCAGCATTTAAGCAGTTACTACCACCACCACACGAATCTCTATTGACAGATATGTCCCATAGGCCTGAATACTGTTCATTTGTGCATTAAAATACTTTGGAAACCCTGTATGTTGCCCTGATCAGCTACACAGGTGTCATGATGACATGATTTCCACTTTAGAGCTTCATAAAAAGCCAAACACTCTCAAGTTTGAATGACTATTGCTGTGAAGAACGTGCAGCCAGGTCTGCCGCTGCTCCTGCCGTGTGGCCACTGCCGTGCACAGCTCACAGGAGAGAAGCCTATGTGTGTAAACATGCTCCCTGAGCATGTCCTGGGCCTCAGGCTCTCTTCCTGGCGGGACTTTCCCCATACAGGTGTCCAGGAGGCATCCGAAACAGATGCCTGAGCCCCCTCTAAGGGAGCGCCCGGCAACTCTGCAGAGGAAACACATTTAATCTGCTTGTATCCGGGATCTCGTTCTTTTGGTCATTGCTCAAACTGACCATATAAACTCTATTTACCTTAACGTATGCCACTCTTTACTCTTTAACTAAAAGGTCAGTTATGATATATTTTATTCCAATATCTAAAGAGCAAATCAAGCATCCTCATTCTTATATATATATTTTGTTTTCAAATTTGCCTGTAGGACCAAAATGGTTTTAAATGCAAATGGCCTAAATAAGATTAGCGAGGTAGGAAGTCCATTCCTTGTTAATTATCACACGCAGTAGTCAATTAACATTGCTAACGATGGGACACTTACTGAGCGTTAACCCAATTTATAACCGCTAAGAGCTGGGTGGCCACAGTTGCAAGAGGTGGAATCAGGAAGCAAGGGGCTTAACTCTAATTTGGTTGTGATGCAACACACATCCACAGTCTCTGCTCTAAGATGATGGCATCTGACTTTTCATGGTTTTGCATTTGAACAGGGGGCACCATGTGGATGGAGCCGGAGTGGGCTTCATCTGGGGGTAATTAGGAGTTAGCAGGAGACGTTAGCTGGATGGTGCTCCGAGCTAACAGCATTAGCCATGGCAGTGATAGAAGCGTGCTCTGATTTAACACTTGTCACTAAACCTTGGCTGTGAGAGCCATGGGTGAGTGACAGCTTGAAACAAGGCCCCAGACCGGTTTGTGTGGAAAGGTGTGTGCGCATCAGTGCTGCAGTGTGTGAAGCGCCATCCAGAATCCTGAAGTTATGCTGCAGAATATAGTTTGGATCTCTTATAACACGTTTGAACCAATTTTGGTTAAACTAAAGCTTGATGTTTTCCACTTGATTTTTGGTTATCTGAAGGCCAAGCTACTGGTGCCATGGCAGGTGCTGATTGGAATCCTCCATGGTATAAAATCACATCTTTGGTTGTGTCTTTGTAACATCAATTAAAAGTCTTCTGTGTCTGTCCAGACCCCCGCGGATTTTCTTCAGTAGTCAATGCTACAATTGTTAATACTTGTCTGTAAGATGTTAGTTGGTGTGCTATGGGTGGGAAAGCATTGAGAACACTGTTTGAACTGGTAAAATAGAGGATATGGTTGAGAATATCAACATTTATCAAATTTTCTGTCGTGCAGAACTTTTGGACCGTATAGGAATTAAAATACAACAACATGAATCATTTTATTGTCATATGATAAAAATCATTGCATTTATACCTCATTCTCTGTGGAATTAAGTTACTAGTCATAGCAACCCTGGTAGAAGTGTGGCTCACATGTATCTTCGTCTTAATTTGATACTCATTCCCTATCAAGAATCTCACAGTGAATATGGTTATAAAAATCCTACGCATTACTTTTCCATTCAAGCACACATTAGAACCCCCCTCTCTCTATGACTCCAGCTGTTGACATTCAGGCATCTTCATCAGTGTCCCGGCTCCAAAACGCCACATCTGTCCCGTGAACATAAATCACCATCAGAGCTGCCCGGCCCACCCATTTCATCTGTGTAACCAGAGACCTGAGCGTCAGCAGGAAGTGTAACGTGCGGCCGAACTATTGAACATTGATCTGGCGCCATTGATCCTCTCCTGTTCCTCCCACTCGGACACTCCTCTGCTGTCGGATGTGTGCTGTAATCTGTGGATTCACTGGGACAGGCCACATCCCCCTGGAATAAACACGTATCGTTGGATAATCATGACACTTTGGCTTTAGTTTATCGTCTTGACTCAATTTTCTGACATCAGCACCGCAATCAAAAAGGACTTATTTGATTTGTGCCTGATTGAATGTTAAATTACACTTTTACACCCATTTATTGTATAGAATCGGCAACTGTGTATGAATACCTAGAGTGTAATTTAAGTGAGAAGATTTACACCCCTATAGTTCAGTATTTATGTCTTTATTGTCAATGCATCAGCCCGACTAAAAGCCACAACTGTGTGATGAGCAGATCAATAAACACGTAATTTACAAACTAGAGGGCAGCTAATCAATGCGTATAAAAGAGTATGAAATATATATTCCAGGAACTGCACAGCACTGACCACAGACTCGGATAAATGGTCAAGTCATTTATTTTTGTCACTATTGATTATTCAATCCACAGAGTTCACAAAAATCGTCCATCTTGTCTTCCTCTCCTCACTCTTTTTCTTGGTGCTGATTTATGATGTCACTGGTATAGGGAGTAGTGCTGGTTAAACACCTCACGGATGAATGAAAAGCATGGGAGATTTCAAGGCTTGAATGTATGGACTAAGTGAGTGCGGATGTCACCCATTCACTTGCACAAATCCCTTAATGCTTTTTGGCTAGCGGGGGATCGCTTCCATAGAAGCTGAAGGCAGTAAAATCATAACCTGTGTAAAACCTGCGGTGGGAGAAACTGACTGCGAATTTGTAACCTCAAGAATCACGGGAACACTTTAAACCACAGCAACGGCAACTCAACGCAATTGACTTCTCAAATAAATAAAAAAACATGGTACAGATCTCTATGGGCTTTGGTTTTGTTGAATATTTATGTTTCTAAAGGTTTACGAAAGCTAATATTAGGCTCTTATTTGACAGTTTTAGATTGATGGCATATCCCTACAAAGCATTATGGTATTGCGCAAGTAGTGAATCAACAGAAAAAGCTGATTAGAGGCAACTTAAACTGGCTCCATGGGCTGGAATTCAGATCCAACATTTTGCAACATCATATAAACCAAAAAGCACCTGATTGGTCAATTATTCAGGGTAATTCTGTATATAGATGTACAAAAGCAGTAAAAATAAAAATAAAAATAAATGCTGGATCATGTAGCCCAAAATGGTGATCGTGACAGTAAGAGGCATTTATTCTCCAAAGGCCATAGAAGTAAAAATTTACCCATGAGCACTTTCCTATCAGAGTTGCACGTTATCAAACCTATGTACAGTCTATGGATGAGAGTCCAGTCTAGTCTTGTACAGTCCACTTGAATCCGGCCTGTCTACCTATAGTTGCACTTCTTGGAAAGTGTAATGACTTATTTCTGATTATCCTGCAGAGAGTCAGTGATGCACCATTACACCATCACACACACAGACACACACACATCCTCAACATTTGCCTACACTGCATGGCTTTACCACAGGCCGAGTGAACATCAGCGCTCTCTCATTTGTCTCGTTGCCATGTCCAGACCTCCCACACTCACTGGTCTGCAGTCCAAGTACCAAGTTCAATCACTGCATCTAATTTTTTTGGGTTTTTTTACCCCAAACTCCACGGTTCTCTACTCTATTGCTTGTCATTAGAATAACAAATGCACAGCGGCTTCTGATTTACTGTGGCGCTCTAGCCCGTGATGTATATTAATACCACAACACTGCACCTCTTACCACGGGTTCATCACTCATCCAGGGTAAAAGAGGCAGAATTGAAAAGCGGGCCTTGTTTTTGCTGGAGCCTGGTTCGCAGTCATTTATTGTGTCACGAGACAGGGCGGCCTCACTGCTTGTCCTTCACCCCTGCGTGCAATGCCAACCTCTATTAGACGCTTCAGTATGTTTGCGAATAGTTTGAAAAGCTTGCTAGTGTTTACATGACGGTGAACAATTTAGAAAATGCCAAAACATCTCTGGCTATGAGCAGATAGTAGAGCTGTTTTCTGGCTTGTTGCACCTTTGCATTTAGATTTGAGTATATGCAATTCAATTCATGCATATTTTTAATCATGGCCCGTTTGGCTGGTTGGTCTGTAGCAGGGTCTTATTGAGTGAGTGCTGTGGCTTCGGGCAGGGTAAAGTGATGACTGCTCTGACAGATTGTCCTCCAGCGCACTGCGAGCACTTCTCCCAGACATGCGGCCCGTCCCTTTTTCATCTCCTCCTGAGTGGACGCGAGGGCTCACTAGCACTGCAAGACAAATAACACTTCTGTACATCATCAGTCTTCCCAGCAACAAGGTGGAGTTTGCACCGGCCGGGGTCCGCGGAGCTCCGGACTCGGCTGCTAATGTGTTTGTATGTAGACGTCGCAGATGAGGCGCTGAGCTGTTGGACATGAGCAGGCAAAAAGTGTGTTGGAAAACGCAAGAGATAGAAAGAAGGTAAATTGATTGATGGAGATTTTGAGAAATCCATGAATACTTTGACGTTTTGAGTTATTCATCACATCAGAGCTGGAATTACTTTATTTTGAAGCTGAAAAGTTCAAATGTCAATTTTATAATGTATATTTTTTTTCTTAAATCAAAGTGTTTTTCAATGAAACTATGTAAAGCCCAAAGTCAAATCTGTTGTAGTGTCAAAACATTTTATTTTTGCATTATGTTATACAGTAAACTAGTAAAGAGAGAAAAAAGAGAGTGTGTCACAATCTGATGCTTTGGGCTAAGAGTTGATTGGCTGAGTGAGGGCGGTCCACGTTTTTAACTTTTACTACATTTTCAAATATTTCTCTTGTTTGAATATTAGGTTCCTCAACTTTAATACTCAGTTACAATAAGCTTCAATTTTTGCAGTAAGAACAACAAGGTTGCATGGGTGGCTTTCAAATACACTCAAAGATATTTTTCCAGTTAAAGCCATTCTTTCTATCAACACTCATTCTCCAATTAGTAATTTTAATATAATTAACATTTGATCTTCAGTCCCATTGATCATCCTAAATGATTGTAAATGATTTGTTTATATTTTTGATAGTAGTGAATAGCAGTTCCACATTTCTCATGGTCAGTTGCAATGAGTCGAACATCTCCATTAGGCTACTGTCTGTGATGGTCTGTTGCGATGCTTTGTTTACACCCTTTCTTAATAGTTGGTGAAATGGTGAATAACGTCTTCAAACTCGTGGCTGATGCTGGGGTAGATGGCTCCTCTCCTCAACAGTACCTGGCTCCTCTCCTCAACAGTATCTGGCTGTCCTCAAGAGGCTGTTGGTGTGACTGTGCCGTATAAAAGAGCTCGTCTCATGACTCGTTCACTTCACAGGCACTCTCGGGGAATCCTGAGGCCACACTCCCTCAGCCGCCGCCACAGGCAATTACCAGTGTTTGAAATGCAAATGACTGTCGCGTACACGTGTTTCGGTGTGTGGATACTTATGAGCCGGTTTACACTTCGCCCAGTGAGTCCGCGTGCTGTGGATGTGTGTGCGCGGCGTGGGTAACTTATCTTAAAAGCACAGGGCCCAGTGGTGCCCCAGCGCAGCAGCAGCAGTCAAATACAATCACATCTGAGAGCAGCGCTACCTTGAGCACGCTCGCCATAAACGGCACCCTCCAAAACAGAGCCGACAAAGAACATACCTTCAATTAGCCAAACCATTAACATTTTAGAGGAAGTCTGTGTTTGGGTCCCCTGGGCCACCCGCACTCGCTACCAGCCTCCTTTTTATATTCAAATCCAGAACATAAAAGTTAGCCATATCTAATCCTAAAAAATGGCTCTTTTACATTTTTTTTCAGCAGAGAAAGCCTGAAGTTTTGTGGTAGATATAATTGCTGGGTTTCAGAAGAATAGTAGCATTATGTTTAACAGTTATCCTGGGCCACAGAGTGCTCCAGAGAACTAGTACGGCACCTGAATATGAACGGTTTTATTAACCTGGTTTGATTTGAAAACAGTTGCAGTATTTGTAAACACTGTCTTTAGGCCAGTTTGAATTGGATCTAGATATGGATGCCCCAATTCGATATGGGGTATCGGTTTAATGATAGCGGTTAAAGCTGGAGTACCTAACTCCGACACCAAGAAAATTTTATAAATATTGATTAAACTAGTTCCTCGCTCTCAAAACTGTTTGGTTCTGTAGTTTTCATATACATGTGTTTTGTTGAAAAACAGAGTACCCGTCTCACTCAGCTCTCAGTATGTAAAAGATTACCTGTTTTCTAATAAGATAAAGACATGGCAGTAGCAGTAGTCTGATTTGTTCTCAAAATCAAAACAAGACTCTCAGTTGAGACAAAAAAAACGTATTTATGAATCAAAAAAGTTACTCCAGCTTTAAGCCAATGTCATGATTAGGTCTTTCCAATTTTAAGCAATGAGTTTACTGGCTGTATTAACACAGAATGTTATAGTTTTATAGTTTTTACACCATTTTCAGTCCCTTAACTTTTATCGGTTCATAATAAATCGGTATCAGCCGATATTAAAAGCCAAAGTATCAAGATAATTATTCATTTATTTATGTATATATATATATATCACTTATATATCTTACATTAATAATAAGCAGGATACAGAAACGGCAATACCCAAAGATACCATTTATAATGTGTGAAACAAACCTTTTTAGGACACAATATTCTGTATAATAAAACAATTAGACTCTCATAATGCCTTTTTATTTTTGGAAATCATTTGGCCGCTTCTACCAATATATTCTAGTTGGATTTTGTTGGACTTTTTTCATAGTTCAAGTGAAATTGCCTTTGTAACTTCAAGGCGCAGGCATTAATATATTCAGTCATGAGACTTTTGAGATTTGAAGCTGGCACAAATCTGTGAGTTTTGGTCTTTTCTAATTTGAGAGGCCATTAGTCAATCATAGTAACCTACATTCATTTAAACTCGCGGCTCTCTGGGGGCAGCTTCAACGCTTCAGTGCTTCTGTGGTCATTATCATGTTGCTGTGGTTTGGTCTTCTCCATAAGAGACGCCTCTATTGATCTGTTTCATTTTTGTGTCTGGCTGCTGTCACTTCATCGTGCCATCATTGCGCCGCCCGGACAGGGGTTGTGCTTCTGATGTTTCCTGGAACAGTTCTTGCGTTTGGTCTAAACTTTGAGTGACCCGACAGAGTGTTGGGGCTCTAAGACACTGAACTTCTGAAGTCTCTGAAGCATGAGGCTGTATGGTGTTCTTCTGTGCTATGGCAAATTAGGAAGGTACACTGCAAAAAAGATGAGGTAATTAACTCAGTAAAAAGTGTTTCATAAGTGTTTTTTATTCTTTTGGGGAGGAATGTGGGAAGAGAGGATGTGTAGATTTCCAGTGCATGTGACATCACAACATTTAAAATTGTGATGGAAGGCGGTTGAAATATCTTTCCTGCAGAGACCGAACAGACAAATGTCTCTAATTCTTGGACAAATCCACATTAAGCCGAAACTGCTCCACATCTTCTTTGTCAGTACAGTACCGCAGTATTTTCTCATAAAGGTGTGAGAAGTGGTGAGATTATACAACAACAACAACAAAAACATGTATGGTATTGACCAGACGACAAGACTTTCAGACGTAAAATACTATGACAGGTTTGTGAATCTACAGTACAGTAATCACTATCAAATAATGACCTGGAAAAACACTTATTTTGATGAACACACAAAAGTTGATCAAAAAAGTTGATTAACAATGTTTTCAGGACATACATGTATACACTGAAAGACCTCTCACAGTTTTGTTAGTTATTGAAGTGCGGTATGATACAAAAAAATATATAATATAGTAAATATTTAAAAGAGTATTATTATGGCACTGAAAATTAAACTTTTCTGAAGCCAACTGAAGACGCTGTTGTGATCAAATTTTTCAAAAATGTTGACAATTCCTCAACTGTATTGAATAGAAAAACACATTCACTTAAAACAACTGTCAGTGCAGAATTGAGACATTGACTTGGTGGAAGGAAACACCCTCTAAAATGCTGAAATTATGTATTGATTTTCCTTCTGTTGTTCGGCCTGATGCCTCTGGGTAATTGCCTCTTCACTGCTACTGGAGCACTGAGCTGTTTCAGTGACACTGCAGCCTCCTGTGTCCGGGTTTAGACAATAACTATAGCATCATGTTCAAGTGAATGCACCAGGACATTATGAGCTGGCCGACATTGGCATTTAATTCTCTTTATTTACAAAACTGAATGTTTTGCAAGTCCATACAATTTACTACTTCCTATGATTTGCTTTGTAAAGGGGAACTCCCAGGAGGCTGCATTAGCTTTTAAGCGGGGCCCCAAAAACCCCATTGAATATTATTCACTACAGATATTTGCTAAAACTGAATTTAATTGTCTTGCAATCTTTAAATCTAGGGGTATCTCACTTTCAAACCACAAAAAGATGTACCTTTGTCTTAAAATCCATCTAGTCCATCCATCCAATCTAGTTCCTCGCTCTCAAAGCAGTTGGGTTCCATCACTAGTTTCACATGTGTTTTTGTCCTCTGTCACATCTTTAGAGCTGCCTTTTCAGACAATAAAGTGAAAAAGAGAGGACCACCTTCACTCGGCCAATCAGCTCTGAGCCCGAAGCGTCAAATAGTGACTCTTATTCTGCTGAAACAAAACAAAATGCATAATTTATGAAAAAATGAAGTTACAGTACGTACCTCAGCTGGAACACGGTGTGCTGTAACATTCTGGAGTCGTTTTTTCCGCAGCTTTTATACATGTAGATGTTACGGGTCCGGTCTAGGGGGCAGACCCGCACAGAAGAATACTCCTGAATAAACAGGACAAATGAAAGAGACGACAGCGTGAGCATCCGTTCAGTGCAGCCTCGCTTCATGTTATTTAATAACAAAAATATTCAATTACAATTTACATGTTCAATTTGTGTACTATCTATCAATTATGTCTCTAATCTAATTTATTCCAATTCTAAAATCATGTTACTCCAATATCTGGTCTCTTACAATGTGGTCACTTATCTTACGCACATTTAACTACATACCAATATTGCATATTAACTAAAATATGTTCTCCTGTATACATTTATACAATAACCAAGTCCATTATGTTACTTGAAAAACTAGCTAAACGGATCTAATATATGGTTGTAAGTCTGGTCTGCTCTAAAACATATTTCACATTTTCTTAATAAACTTTACACACAATAAACAAACTAGAAAAACGGTTCCTGAGCATAAACAAAGTCTCAAAAGTTACTACATGTTTACTACGCACGAGTCCATGTTACAAGGGTGGCGCCGCCATTACAAAACCACATGTTCCCTCCTAGTGAACTGCTAAACTCTAAAACAGTGGTCTAACGTGGTGTAAACCTCTAAACACACACTGACAAAATGGCAATCTACTACCAAAACAATATACAGTCATCTTGTATGTACTTTTCAATATGTTTTACATTATATTACCTGAATTAACAGGACAAATGAAAGAGACGACAGCGTGAGCATCCGTTCAGTGCAGCCTCGCTTCATGTTATAAAATGGAGCGGACCAAAGACTCTCCAAGATGGGCCCTGGTGGAAAGTCCCGCTACTACTCACGACACTGCCCCCTGGTGGCGCACCCGCAAATGTGAAAATTACTTCTAAACAAACAAAAACACATTATTACACTAATAAAGGAGCTAATTTTGAGTTAAGATAAAGGATATCTTAAACTAAAACACCATAAAATGTGACTGCACATTTTGTGTGCGTCACACGCTCCCTGACAACAGAAAATGACTCCGGACATTTACAAAAACAAAAATGGTGAAATCATTACTTTCATCTATCATTGTCCTTACTTTTACTAATAAGCAGGCATCCGATGAACTGGAGCCGAAAAAGGATATATTCCTGGATATGCATGCTGCTGAGGAACAAGTCTGTATGGCGTTGGTGCACAGTATCCCACTGAGTTAGAGTCATATGATGTTGGTGCACAATATATCACTGAGTTAGGGTCCATTCCCCAGAAAGGCACCGCTGGTGGCAAGAAGGCTTCGACTGCATGGACAGCTGGTGGCGGCTGGAACTGGAATGTTGGCTGGCCCAGGGAATTGTAGGTGAACATCTGCGGTGGCCTGCGGGCACGAGTGGACCTCCGGACCTCGGGCTCATCCTCTTCTCCCTCATTGGCGTCTGCAGGTTGAAGTGGAGCTGCTGGTTTCGTCGTTGTCCTCAGGGTCTGTTTCCCTCTGTACCTCCTCCGCAGGAACTTCAATGTTCTCATTTTCAGACTTATCTGCATCTGGCTCTGGTGGAACGGTGTTCCCAAGTGGTCTGTTTTGGATAGTCTGGTTATGCTCTGTTTGTCTTAAATCTTTTACAGCAATTAATGGTCTGGACTGTACTTGTACTCGAGTATTTTCTCCTTGTGGCCCAACAGGTGGAGCCCTTGTGGCATGTTGGGGAATCCTCAGCCAGTAGTGAGCTGGTTCATCTTCTGAGTCTGAGGATGAGTTACTTCGAATGTCACTGAGTCTCTGCTCCTGTTGTGATTGTCTCTTGTTTCTTGTTTGACAGGACTGTCTATGTTTCACAGGTGAGACACTGGGAGGTAGTTCTACAGGCAAATCATTGACTAAAAGAAGGAGATTGCGATGGAGTGTTCTGACCTTATTGCTTCCATTCTCAGACGTCACCTTGTAAACAGGACCATCTGCCATTCTGTCCTTCACTACATAGATTTTATTCTCCCAGTATGATCTCAATTTACCCGGTCCTCCTCTCTCTCCCAAGTTGCGAATTAACACTCGGTCACCTGGTTCAAGGACAGTCCCTCCTGTAGGCCTCCTTCATCCTTGCTGCCCACTTCTCTGCATAACCTCTAGGAGTGGTGGGATCTTGGTCAGGGTTGAGATTGAAGATGAGGTCCACAGGCAGTCTGGGTTGCCTGCCAAACATTAAGTAGAATGGAGACATACCTGTGGCCTCGTGTCTAGTGCAGTTATAGGCATGTACTGCGTGCGCCAGATGATCTCTCCATCTCTCCTTCTATTTCTCTCCTAGGGTCCTCAGCATCTGAAGAAGTGTACGGTTAAATCTCTCTGCTGGATTACTCTGGGGGTGATAGGGAGTTGTACGACAATGTCCAACTTTACTCAAATGCTGTAGGGTTTTAAAGAGGTCATTTTCAAATTCTCTCCCCTGGTCATGATGCAGCTTGTGCGGATAGCCAAACTTAGGGATGAAATCTTCAAAAAGTCTCTCTGCGGCTGTCTTTCCGGATTTGTTTTTAGTAGCATAAGCCTGAGCGTACCTGGTGAAGTGGTCAACAGCTACAAGGATATACTGATAACCGCCTTTACTAGGTTCTAAATGTAAATAGTCAATGGAGACAAGCTCTAGTGGCTGACTTGTGGTGATGCTCCCCATGGGTGCTCTTATGTGTGACACTGGCTTTTTGCTCTTAATGCAGGGGCATTTTCTTGTAACGTATGTCTCTACATCTCTTTTCATGTAGGGCCAATAAAAGCGGTCCCTGATTAAAGTCATTGTCTTTTCAGTGCCCACATGACTCATGTCGTTATGCAGAAGCTTCAACGCTGTCTCATGGTATAGTTTTGGAAGGACAAGTTGTTGCCTCAGATTTGTTTTTCTGAAGAGCAAACTGTCTTGGAGATACAATCTGTCCCACTCATAAAGCAGTTTTCTGGCCGGACCACTAACACTAGTTCTAATGTCAGTAGTCAGCATTTGAACAGTCTCTTTGAGTTTGACAACCTGGCCTATAACAGAGTCATTTTGCTGGGCTTTTACCATCTCAGCATGGCTAATGGCTGGCAACAAGTCACGTGTCTGGTCGTTCTGAGCAATGTCCATGGCTGCTATATAAGCAACGTCCTTTGACTCTGCAGCATGACAGCCCTCCCAAATGCTCTGGATAGTGTCTCTAGACAGTTCTTTGGTGCACGTGTCTACATAGCTGGCTATGTCTAATGGCAGTCTTGATAGTGTGTCTGCATCTACATTGACTCTTCCTGGCCTATATTTGATCTCAAATCGGAAATCGGCAAGCTCACCAACCCAGCGATGGCCAATGGCGTTAAGCTTTGCTGTGCTCATCACGTAGGTTAACGGATTATTGTCCGTGTAGACTGTAAAATGTGGTGCATAGTAAAGATAGTCTCGAAATTTCTCACTGACGGCCCACTTTAAAGCCAGAAATTCTAATTTACTTGAAAGGAGGTGATAATTTCGTTCAGTAGGTGTTAATGTTCTTGACCCGTAGGCGATGACCCGTAGCTTACCACCTTGGCGCTGATAAAGGACGGCGCCAAGCCCCCGCTCCGAGGCGTCAGTGTGCAGCACGAAGGGGAGGTTGAAGTCGGGGTAGGCGAGTACAGGTGGACTGGAGAGGGTGGCGATGAGCTGGTGCAGCGCCCTTTGGTGTTCTTCAGTCCAGCGGATGGGTGTCTTTGACGGCATCTGCATACGCTTTGACTTTGATGTTTTCTTTGACTGGTGAGGTGTAGTGGTACAATCAGGGCCTTTAGCTACTAACAGTTCATACATTGGCCTGGCAATCTTTGAAAAATCTTGAATATATGTGCGGTAGTAGCTAAGAAAACCAAGTAGTTTACGAACCTCACCAACAGTGCTTGGACATTTGTCTCTGAGAGCTTCAATGGCCTCCAAGTCTTTCGGGTCAATACGGACGCCATCAGCAGAGACGAGACGCCCCACATAGCGGACCTCAGCCTTAAAAAGTTCACATTTGGTCGGCCTAAGTTTCACGCCATGTTCCTGGAGTGCTCTCAGGACACGTCTGAGTCCCTCTACATGTTCCTCAAATGTCTTAGCGTAGCAGAGAATATCATCCAAATATGGGATGCAACATTCATCCCTCAATGAACTCAGCATCTCCTCCATGCTCCTCTGAAAAGTGGCGGGCGCGTTGGACAGCCCAAAAGGGATGCGGACCCACTCGTACAATCCCCATGGGGTGATGAATGCTGTCATGTGCCGTGATCCCTCTGCCACATAGCCCTGATGGTAGGCTTTCCCCTGATCTAAAATCGAGAACCAGCTATATCCCCCCAGTGTGTCGATGAGATCTTGAATGTGGGGCAGGGGGTGTCTGTCAGGGACTGTCTTTTGATTCAGGAGTCTATAGTCGATGCAAAGACGGAGGGTGCCGTCTTTCTTACGCACGCACACCACTGGAGATGCATAAGGAGACTTAGACTTGACTATCCACTGTTTAGCCAGAAGATCTTGGATGTATTCTTTAACCTCCCTGAATAGTGGTTTGGGAATGGCAGAGTACGTTCTCTGTACGGGAGTGTCATCTTTCAGTGTTATGTTCATTTGAAGACTAGGAATGCACCCAATGTCATGTTCATCTCGGGCAAATGCATTTGATTCTTCATACAGCATTTGTCTCACTAGTGTCTGTTGTTCTTCGCTTAAATGACTCACATCAACTGGAGGATGCCACCGCTGGGGAGTGGCCTCACTCAGTGAATGTTCTTTTTCACTGTAATCATGTGCACTTGGGTCATTTAAAAAAGGAGTGTCTGTTTCTATGATTTTGTCTATAGATTGAATGCTCCCTAGTGATGTCAAATTACTTAACATAATGTCACTCTGTGTGTGATTACCTACTGGGATTTCAACATAGGATCGTTTGCCTTTGTGTACCTCCACCAGTCCATCACCAATATCAAGCTGTTGCAGCTTTATGTCAGGGTCGGTGACTTCAAAAAGAGCAACAGGAGCATTGAAATCAGAGGACAGATGGCACCTCACATGAGTGACTTGACCAGGGCGTATGACTGCACCTTGGCGTCCCACTCTGACTCTGGCTTGTTCAGATTTAATTTCACGGGTCTGGATGAAGTTCACAATAGTCTCAGCCTGATATGCTTGAATCTGCATAGCGTCCTTTAGTAGCTTAGTGAGAACTATTGCGGCCTCTTTTTCATCAGAGTGTCCCGATGAGTTCTTGAATGACGTTGAATCCCAATATTGGACGGGGAATACAGACAGTACTGACCAGGAATGGGACTCTGATAGTGAGATCTGGATTGTCATTGTCAGGCAAGTTAAACAACAGTTCGATCCATCCATCATAGGGGACGGACTCACCATTTACTGCTTTCACATGGAGCGGCTTGTCTCCTAGTAACTCGCTGAGTGGACGAATCTTTTGTTGTGGGGCAAAAGTCTTTCTCCAAACTCGATCAACAATGCTGACCTGTGCACCGGTGTCCATGAGCACAGAGAGAGCATAGCCATTTAGATTGCACTTTAGGAGACATTTTTGTCCTAAGATCTTTGCTACTCTTTGTGATGCAGACATGACATCAGCGGAGTGACAGGCCGCATCGCTAGTGGAGTGAGGGTCGCTTCCATTGAGTTCTGTTGGTGAGTGTTGCTGCGCCCTTGATTTGTAATCTCTGTTTTTTTTCAAACAACCTAGTGCACGGTGTCCTTCCTCGCCACATTTAAAACAGTGGTTACAGTTGGTCCTGCGGTGAGCAACACAATCAGGACAACCAAACTTGCTCTTTTGTTGCCTGCGAGGTGAATTGGGGCAGCGACATGAGCCTTGTGAACCTGATGTACTCTGATTTGGTTTATATGGCTCTTTGGGTCTGGTTTGGAAAGAACCAATTGCATCTGTCAGTGTTTGGACTTGGGCACTGAGTTGTCGAATTAGTTCATCTTTGGCATTTGACTCAGGACTGGGTTTCACCTTCACACTGGGCTCAACATCACTACTGAGTGCGGAAGCGGTCTTGGGACGGGTGACACGGCCTAAACGTCGTTTGCGTTCACTCTCCTCGTTTGTAGTTTTTGTCATTTGTTTTAAGAGCAAATCATCAGTCACTGTTGAATCAGAAAGGAAATGCTTTAGCTCTCGTCTAATGTCCTCATGTCTCTCATTTAAACCTTGATATATGGTGTGCAAGAACACATTTTGGATTGTTTGAGGTTCATATCTGATATCACAATCTGACTGTTTTGATATGAATATCAACTTCTGCTTCAGTCCCATCATACGGTAGAGAAACTGTTGTGGGGTTTCATGTTCGTTTTGTTTTGCGGTTATGAGTCCTTGGAACAGTTCAGTTGTGCTTTTCTCTCCCAGATGTGACTGTAAAAAGCTTTTCAACTCGGCGACAGACATCTCCTCTTTGCTGGTGAGCATTTCTTTGAAAATGCCTGGCTTGATGATACGGAGGACGGCTTGAACCACTTCATTTTCGGTGTGATTTTCTTTCA